ATACTAAATTAGTTAGTGTTGTATATACATATGTATATAATAAAACTAATTTTTTTATTTTTAAAAAATCCAATAATTTTTAAAATTTTTACTCTGTCCTACCTTTTTGCTTGTCCTTATCTCAAATTTCGAATCTTTATATATGTATTAATATCTCTATCGCTATCTACACCTATAAATATAATGTTATCTATATCTTTACCTATACCTACATATATGTATGTACAATCTATATCTATATTTGATATCTATTGCTATCTTTATTAAAATCCTTATATATGCCTCTATAGAAACAAACATGGAGCAAACTTCTACTTCTGGTGGCCTTTGCGACGACTCTGGGCGCGGCTGTGCCCACGGGCTATTGCATAGGTGTTATCAATGCGCCCGCAACTGTAAGTAACTGTTGTAACTGAAGTTTATCAAATTATAAATGATATTTGACTGATTCGCCCTGATAGCTAATGAAATCGTGGTGCAATGAAACAGTACACGAAAAATATGGCAGCTGGATGAGTCCAGGTGGCCTGGATGTACTCTGGTCTTCCGTTGTTTCCGTCTTCCTGATTGGTGGAGCTATCGGATCTCTGGGTGGTGCTGGCTTGGCTAATAAATTTGGCAGGTTTGTATTGATTTATCAATGTCATTTTTAGTGTTGCTTATCGGCTTCACCTAGACTAGCCTAATTGCCTGGCTTTAACTAATCTAGGAATTTCTTAATCTGCATAGTTGATTAAGTTTTTACTGAAATGAAATTTCTAGCAAAAAGAAGTTAGAACATGCCCTATATAGGAATTTAATCTAATACTTAAACTAATCTCCATTCTCTCTCTCTCTCTCTCTCTCTCTCTCTCTTCCTCTCACAGAAAAGCCTGCCTGTTCATTTGTGCCGTTCTCTTTATCATTGGCGCTGTGCTCTTCTTCTTCTGCCGCGCTGCCAAATCGGTCGAGATGCTGCTGCTGGGCCGCTTGATTGTGGGTCTGGCCTCTGGTCTCGTCACAGCCACACAGCCAATGTATCTGGCAGAGCTGGCACCGCCCGCCCAGCGCGGCACCTTGGGCGTCTTTTGTGGCGTTGGCGTCACCGGCGGCGTTGTCGTCGGCCAGGTGTTCAGTTTGGCTGATATTTTTGGTACAGCCGAACGTTGGCACTACGCACTGTCCGCTTACGTATTGCTCATCATTGTGTGTTACCTGCCCTCGTTGCTGTTTCCCGAAAGTCCCAAATTTCTCTACGTGATCAAGAGCAATCGAGAGGCAGCCAAGCGTGAGCTGATGCGCCTGCGTGGCCCAGATGCCATCAAGCTGGTGGACCAGGAGATTGCAATCATGCAAGCGGAGGTCAATGACGACATGCAAAGCAGCAGCTTTGGCGATGTGCTACGCGATAAACGCTTCCTCCTGCCGCTCATCATTGTCTGCTGCTTCCAGGGCGGCCAGCAGCTGTCGGGCATCAATGCAGTAAGTTCGGCTTATGAATCGATTTGGTCTCATTGATTTACTATATCAGTTGCCTTATCTTGCAGATCTTCTACTATTCCGTTTCGATATTCACCAAGGCCGGCTTCTCCGAGCAGAATGCACAGTGGGCAAATCTAGGCGCTGGCTGCTTAAATTTATGCATCTCACTGCTCGGCCCATTGCTGATGGCCACCTGCAAACGTCGCACCTTGATGATGCTCTCCAGCTCCATTTGCTCCATTTTTCTCTTTAGCATTGCATTTGTTTTATACTATATTGTGAGTCTATTTAGATAATTGATTGTTTATAATTAGATTTCATTAACTTTCCTTTGATTTTTATCAGGAATCGGTTAGCTGGTTTGCCTGGGCCTGCATTGTCTGCATTATGGGCTATATATTCTTTTATCAATTTGGCCTCGGACCCATACCCTATTTCATTGGCTCAGGTAAGTATCGTTATGCACATACATATATATTCCATATTGACTAAACAATTGATATATCTTTTAGAACTGTTTGAGGTCGCGCCACGCCCCGTCGCCATGTCCATGGGCAGTCTGGCGTCATGGGCGTGCAATTTCATAATTGGCATGGCCTTTCCCAGCTTGCAAAGTGCTTGGGGCGCCTTTGTTTTCCTGCCGTTCTCGATTACCTGCGTGCTGCTCTGCCTGCTAACGAAATTCTATCTGCCGGAAACGCTGGGACGTGATCCATCGGAGGTGGCGCCGCTGGTCGCCAAAGGTTTTCGATCCAAAATCAAATGAGGCCCAACTAGAGAATAGCTTACTATATAATTCTTAGCTTTAAGTTAAATGTTAGTAAATATATATATATATATATAGGTGGAGACTAAGTGCCTATGCTCGACAATAAGTGTTCGATTTGTTAACACGTACAACTAATTAGTAAGATACCCTGTACAATTGGCATCCATTGTAAGAGGTTCGCTTCTTATCGCTTGCTGCACAAAAAGAAAAAAAAGCAAAAAAGAAAAAGCTAATTGCCTTGAGAAACCGACTGTGTTGCTACCTTTGTTACTTTAGCTAATTGAATTTACTGCTCTCCCATTGAATAGCGGAAAGGTTGACGCGAACAAAGCTTGCCTATCATATAGATACTCTCTGATTAAGACTTTTGTATTTAGATTACTATTGAAATTTATATTAACATAATTGTATGAACACAAATAAAGACCATTCAAGTGCAATGAACACATTTCCCATGCTAAAGGGACACAATCTCAGCCGACATGTCAACTGATAAGAGCATGAACTAAAACTTAAAAGCAAGTTAATAATAACTGGCAGCTTATATTTGAATAGTGAGTCTAATCGTTCAATACATAGCCTGTATAATCAATATATATATATTATTGCAATTGAATGGGTTATGATATTATTTTAACTATTTTTAAAGATGGGTTTAAAATTGATTACGCGATTAAACATTTTTTAAATAAATTATCTAGCTCGTACAATCTATAATAGATATCATATCGATAGGGTATATATAGCTGGTAATGGTAACAAAGAACAAAATTACAAATAAAAATTTAATAATTTGTTCAATATAATTTTAAGTTTATCTAGATCAAAAAGTTTTCATCAGGTGTTATAGTAATGCATTAAAATAAATTTTAAATTTTGTTTTTATTCAATTCAAAAGTTTTCATTTAATTTATTTTAGACATACTTATTACGTATTAATTAATTTGTAATATTAACTTTTAGGAAAAATTATCTTCATTTAAAAAAAAAAAGAAAAATTGCATGTGTGTTTCTACTCATTTTGATAGAAATTATTTTAAATATCTTGAATGAAGTTCTAGACATAAATATAAATGAGTGCAAATATAATACATATTATTTTATGTTTATGATAAAAAAAATTAAAAAAACATTTTTTTGAAATAATTATAAATATTTAAATAGATGTTTATAATAAAAAAAAATTACAAAAAATTTTAAATTTAAATTTAATTAATTAATATTGAATATTGAATTTTTACCATTTGGTTTTTAAATTAAAAATAAACAAACAATCTTAGTAGCGTGTCAATATATTAGATAGCAACGAATATGCCTTATAAGAAAGACGTAAATAAACTTGTTGCCCTATCTATGTATGTCTAAATGGGATGGGGGTACAATCTATGTGTTAGTGAGAAGAGAGACAACGGCGCATTGTCGATTCGACAAGTCGACAAGTGTGTGCCAATTAGAGATTGGGCTTTGAGGTGTGTAGAGTGAGTCAGTTAGTAAGCAGCATCGTTAGATAAAGCAACGCAATATGGTTGTCATAATGGTATTTACAGGGTATATCCATAAAGCCATATATATGTATATATATGTATATGTATATAGAATATAGTCCATTCCGTGCTCAGTTTGTGTCTTAAATCATTTGATTTGCATACATATACATATGTAAATAAATGTGTGTGTGTGTGTGTTTTTTTTTTTTTTTGCAGCACGTGAACGATGCAGGCGAGAGCTGGACCTGGTTGCTCTTCCTCATTTGCCTGACGACCACCTTGGGCAGCACTGTGCCCGTTGGCTACTTCTTTGGTGTGCTCAATGCACCGGCTGAGATCATCCAGAGCTGGTGCGACGAGGTGCTCTCGAACGAATACGATACGAACAGCAGCGAGAGTCAGCTGAATCTGCTGTGGACATCCATTGTATCGATCTATTTGATTGGCGGCATCTGTGGCTCCTGCTTCAGCGCCTGCTGCTGCAATAAATATGGACGGTTTGTTGCACTGATTTCAGTTAAATAAAATACCTAGATAAACCCATACTTACTCAATGTTCTCTGGCAGCAAGGGCACCTTGATCATAAGCAGCGTAATTCTGTTGATTTGCGGCCTGCTCTTCACCTGGTGCCGTGCAGCCAGATCGCTGGAGATGCTGCTGGTTGCCCGTTTCTTCGGCGGCATTGCCTCGGCGCTGATCTTTACGGCGCAGCCCATGTACTTGCTGGAGCTGGCTCCATCTTCGCTGAGCGGCAGCGTTGGCGTCTTCACCTGCATCGGCGTCACGGCTGGCATATTGCTGGCGCAGATTGTCAGCCTGCCGCAGCTGCTGGGCAACGACGACAATTGGCCATATGCCTTGAGCTTCTACGCGCTGCTGGTGCTCCTCTGCTTGCTGCCGCTGATGTGCTATCCGGAGAGTCCACGCTGGCTCTATCTGGTCAAAGGCGACGTGGCGGCCAGTGCGCATGGTTTGCGTCAGCTGCGTGGCAACGAGGTGAATGTGCAGCTGGAGCTCAACGAATTGGAGCAGACATTGTCGAAGAACGACAAGTCCAGCACCATATGCCAAGTGCTGCGCGACAAGGCGCTCCTCCTGCCACTGCTGCTCGTCTGTGCGCTGCAGGCCAGCCAGCAGCTTAGCGGAATCAATGCGGTGAGCAGTGCAGATATCATTTACCGCATCTAATTCAATCAAGCTAAGTCAACTTCGTCTCTTACAGATCTTCTTCTATTCGCTGTTGATTTTGACCAATGCTGGCTTCTCAAGCAGCTCGGCCACCTGGTTAAATCTGGGCATCGGCTGCTTCAATCTGTTCACCTCGCTGCTTGGGCCGTTGCTGTTGTATAAATTCAATCGGCGCCCGCTTCTGATGTGCTCCTGCCTCATCTGCGGCGGCTCGCTGGCTGGCATGTCCTTCTCCCTCTACTATCTGCTCAGCTCGGAGGGCATGGCGCTGCGTTATGTGAGCATCGCATTCATTTTGACATTTATACTGGGCTTCCAACTAGGTCTAGGACCCATTGCCTATTTCATTGGCTCAGGTTGGCGTTCATCGATTTCCACATATCCAGTCAATTAATTGTAGTTGCTTGCAGAGCTACTGGAGGATGCACCGCGTCCTGTGGCCATGTCTTTTGGCAGCCTCTTCTCCTGGCTAGGCAATTTCCTTATTGGGCTGTGCTTCCCCCTGCTGCAGATCGCCTGGAGCTCCTTTGCCTTTATGCCCTGCATGTGCGTTTGCATATTTTGCCTACTGCTGGTCTGGCGCTATCTGCCAGAGACACGCGGCAGGGAGCCCAAAGACGTGAAACCACTGATGAGTCAAGGACTACGTTCCAAAATCAACTAAATAAATATATTACATTTTATGTACAGAAGTATATTCCTTAACCTCCATGTATTTATAACAATAAACAAACGCAAGGCAAATAAAATGATCCACAAATAAACAAACAAACAAAAATAATTATTTAAAAGTATTTCCTCAAAGTCTTTAATGGTCATTAAATATTTACACACACTTCACTTCACCTTACCACACTACACAAGTGACCTCCAACAGGCCTGAGCGACTGAAGAAATAGTGCCACTGCAGCCCTTTATATAGGGCGACTCACACTCAATCATAAAGTCACGCTCAAATGTTGAGTAGAAGTCATTGCAGTCGAGCTTTAAGTGACCAATGGGAATACACAATCTCTCTCTATCTCCCTCTCTCTCTCTCTCACCATACTAAATGAATACTGCTGCGTACATATAGACAACTTAAATGATCCTCTTGTGTTTTTCTTCGTCCCCTGCTTTTTTAGGCAGAGAGACAGAGCGAGAGACGAAGAGATAGAATACATACATTTTTTTTATTTTAGTACTTCTCTTACTACTATCAGCAAGGGAATTTATTCAATGCTCAGTCGATTGTTAATGCAGACATAACGGTAAAGTATACGAATGCGCAGACAAAAACTCAAAAAATGCGCAGAGCTCTTATACGCATATTTCACTTGCGTTCTCTGTCTCCATCTCTCTCTCTCTATGTCTCTCGCTCACTCTTTGCTGAAATGATCAGTGAGCCAATAGCGACGTCACATTTGAAGCGTCAAAATTAGCGTTTGTATTTGTCTTCTAAAAATATATTTCGCCCAGTCAGTCAGTGGCTGGCAGAACGTTGTGGCGAACGTTTCATTTCGTTTGATAGCGGCGTGCGCGGTTGATTTGAATGCTGCAGAGCGGTATTAAATGCGGCAGCGACTGATGAAGTGGAATTAAGTAATGTACGTTTATAAATAAAAATACGGTCTACAGTGCTATAGTGTGCTACAGGTGCCAATAAATAAATAGAGCAGCATGAATATTTTCAGATTGAGTTAATGTTTAAATAACATGTCAGTGTAAATATGTATGCGATTGTACACTTTCCTGCATAAATCTGCGTACACTAAGAAAAAAAAAATGTTTGTGTTCAGCTGTTCCTAACATTTGCTTATGTGAGCGAATTTTATTTTTATTTTTAAAATTATAGTTCATTTAATTATCTACTTATCCATGTTTTTGGTTTCTCAGAATAATTATATTTATATATTTTAATGTTGGAAAACATCGCGGATGTGGAGGCCATATGATTTCGTACAATTTCTTGTTAACGTTTTAAAATAATATAAACTTAGTTATTTTGAATAAACCAAAATATGGATAAATAGTTAATTAAATCAACTATGTTTTAAAAATAAGATTCAGCTAATCTAGAGACAACTTATGCTGGCAAGTGTATGTGAGTTAAAATAGATGTACATGGAAAATCAGCTGCGAAATAAGAATCGAAAACGAAACGAACCCAAACGAAATGAAACGCAACAATGCAATGACGACAACGCGTTAGTGACGTCACGCCCGGCATGTCGTTTATTTGGCATCTGGCAAAGAAATAACATAAAACAGCAATAACAACAGACTCATACACACACACACACACACATAAACATAGCAGGCAGACAACAACAACAATTAGAAGCAATAAACATTTCGCTGCGATCGTTGATAGTTATCGATTATCCATGATGAATAAGTTTGCCAAATGTGTAAATACCAATAAGAAGAATAACTTAAATAAACATGTGTGCGTACATGTGTACGTACACGTGTAGTATGTACGAAATATATGTACATATGTATGTAACTTTCTTCCCCTTTTTTTGCAAAAAGAGTGCCATACGATACGCCGGTCAATGCACGAAAATTAGTTTTTTAATTTTTTTGTGGGTCTTGGCCCCACATCAATGTCTGTCAAACGAGACGGGGAACATTTGGTAGCCAAGTACATATCCAACTGTAATTTATTATTATTCGTGTCATTTGCTTCACATGCAAAAACACACGCACACAGACACATTCGACCATAGGCATTTTACCGCATTATCCATGTCATTTGCTTTGCTCGCTCGCTCRCTCACACACACATGCGCACGGCTAAACATGCACAGATTTTACCGCAACTTGCGTTTTATTATTATCCGTGTCATTTGCTTTGCTCGCACACACACAAGCGCAACTTGCGCTTAAGCATTTTTCATTTGCATCCAAACATTTCTTTCGATCTTTTTTGTTCTAGTTGAAACTTTTTGAATATTTTCTCATTTAGCTGTTTGGCACTTAACATTCACTGCCTGTCTATAATATTTTTTTGGTTTTATATTTTTTTTTGACGTGGGCAATTATGTACATTATGGAAAAAATAATTATGCAAGTGCGCTCTTTGAGTCGAGTAACTCAATGTTTGTATTATTAAGCGAGCTGTTCGATTTGTGGGCGCTCAAAAAAAAAAACAAAAAAAAATCCATAAACAATTTCGGCAATTCAGTTTATGAGGCAATTAAGATTTGAAGTATAAATCCAATTGTTTAGACATTTAGTTAAAAGAACCAGCCAAGGGAATTGCATATGTGTGAGACGCATGCATATGTGTGTGTGCGTTTATCCCAGAGGGTTGTGTATGAGTGTGTGTAAGTTCGGAGGTCTTTATATGCATAGATGTACATATGTATATGTGTGATATGTTTAAGCAGCCAATCAGCGTTTCCCCAGGAGTAAATCTACATACATACATACATACACACCCATTTCTATGTATTTACGTACGTATATTAGCATAAAATCTTCGTACGATTTCCTTAAATATTTTTTTTTAGGTTTCTTCTGTCTTTTGATCTTTTGTTCATTTTTTCATATTTTTTCACCGTAATCCATGGAATTCCATAGATTCTTTTAAATTTTGAGGTCAATTAGCATTTTGTTTAGTTGATTTTTCTTTTTGCCTTGGATTTTTAATGCTAAAAAGCATATTGTTATCGTGCTGAAAGCTTTCCAGCTAATAAGAAATTAAATTACTTTCAACTGTGCATAGAATTCTGTAAGTTAATTGCATTTTAATAGGCATATTGTTGAAAGATCTAACAGAACTAAGAGCATTTACATTCCTTATTTTATTCATTTTTATTGTGTTAACACCTGCTTTATTTCATTAAGAATATAAACATAAAGTTGACAGTGTTTGTTTAATGTCTCTATTTTTTTTTTTTTTTTTTTTTTTTTT